GTAGTGACCATAATATGCAAATCCAGGATTATCTCACCACGAAGATATATGGCGGGTGTAGACAAAAGCACAGTCGTCGACGTTATCAGAAAGCCCCGAACAACAAGGTCGTTCGACGATTATCAGAAAAATCTGCGCTCAATATTGCTCGCTTTTTTATATTTTCAACGAAGAAATTAATTTCACTAGTTTTTCCTTCTAGTAGGAACAACTGCGATAAACGCACTGTGACACAATGTGCTCCGTTGAGACATTTATAATGAATATCCGAAGACAACCTAGATGAGCACGCACAAGTATTTGCAGAGTTAAAATTTAAAAGCAGCCTCACTGGCGACGTCTTCAATTCAAAAAGTCATAATCACTTGATCACAACCGTTTTTAAAATTCCATATATCTAATTTAAACTTCATGAAACTCCATCATTTGTCCCATTACAATTTATTTATAGAAATTCTACATCGAAGAAGTGAAGCTTTCGGATCTAGGGAACCAAGAAATCTGTGGATCATTGTCTGAATCCAGTCGCGGAGGAATTTTAGCATTTTGCTTCTTATGCCCTTCCTCTTCTTCACGCTTCTTAATTTCTATTGCTATTTTTCTTTCTCTGTGCTCCCATTCCTATTCTTCGTATAGTTTTCTCTTGTTTTATAGTTTTTTCTTTGCGTCTTGGCTTTTCACTTTTAGGATCTAAATGCTTTTATGACCTTCATTTCCATGTCTGTAACACATTTGTAATCGGTGAGGATGTATGGCCTGACGCTAAATTCCGGTATGAGCGCCTGGCTTTCATCTTAACTGGTTAATTGTTCCACTTCTTCACACGAGATTGCCTGTCCGAAGTATGTGCCCGTTTTGCCAGGATTAGCGTCTATCCTTCATAAAACTGGATTTCCTACTCACTTATTTGCTTCGTGAAGTTGGCGGCGAAGTAATCTTTAACTAAATGTTTCAATTTTCATCATTTTTTTTGTTCAGCAGTAGAAGACATGTTGTTTCTATCAAAACTCCACTAACACAACAAATTAGTGCATCATAACATTCCATCAACTGTTTGAATGCAGACTAAATTATGTTCACTTTTCTCAGGTTTTTATAGTATTCGGCACTGAAGTATTCTAAATAACATTTCCTTCATTATTTTCTTATAATAGATACCTAGGCGGTCTCACTCAAAAAATATGGATCCAATAATCCGCTTATCATCGTTGATGGTATTTTCGATTGTGTTGTTGTTGCTGCTGTTGTTGGTAGCGAGCAATTTTACTTCAAGTACACTTCATCGTTGCAATTAATCAGACGATACGGCTCTTCGCCTGGCGGATTCAGATGCTTATCTAATCCGAGAAAGAATCATGGTGTGCTCATCACTATTCTATAATTATACGCTACTCATTGACCGATTGCCACCAATTGTTCGAACTCACTACCCAGACGCAACGATAAGATAAGCGGAATCGAGGACACTACTGGATTCTAACTCATCGTTTTTAACTCATTGCCTAGATTTTCTATCGTCCATATTAATCAATCGCTCCTAACCTTCCTTATTTTATTTGCCGCGCAAAAAATTTCCGTTTTATTCGGAGTGTTTCTATGTTTCCTATGTCTTGAACTACAGGTGTCGCAAACAATTCTGGTAGTGATAGCATTGTATAATGGATGGAAATGATGATTTTCGAGTTGACTTTCAGTTTCCTTTTTTATTTTTTGGAAAAGTCATACTGCCTTTGGTGGTCGCAGTTTTCGGGATGCATTCTTGATGCCATGCTTGAACGGCATCGAGCCAGGTTTTTCTGTTTTGTTTGAAGATGCTTGAGATGTTTGTGTAGATGTAGTTGAGGCAATGCTTAGGCGTTGGTCGCGTTTATTTGCCCCGGTCGTCGTTGACCCTTGCTGGAAAGCGCGAAACGAACGGTTCGAGGCCATTAGCACCTTTTCCTTTCCCTCTTCCTTTTCCTCTTCCACTTCTTTGCTTCTCGGATATGAATAATTTTATGAGTCAGCGTCGTTGGTCGTCTTCATTGCAATTATTGTACGCTGATTATTCATGAGTCACTTCGGCACACCAACTATGCACACCATCTATTCTGGTTACTTCCACCTCCCATTGTCTTCAATTAATAGACTGATCACCTGTTCATAGTAATTGTTGAAATTGTATGTTATTCCCACCAAGGATAATTATTCTCGAGTCTTACCAGACGGGGCGGGCTTGGGCGCCAGCAGTGCTGGATTCCTTCATTCAGTCCCATCTTGCCTTACCGTCAATGTGTTTTAAAATTCTGGTCGATATCTGTTTAGTTCAAGCAGCTGTTCTAACCACTCTTGTTTTCTTTAACCACACGGTATTTTTATTCCCCATATCTTAATTAAGAAGCAGATACTTTTAATCCAACTTACTTACACTCATCCAGTGTGAAATACTGAGTCCAGTGCAGCGGAGATGATTCCGGTAAAAATCACCGCGGAAAGTTGGAATATGTAGGAAATGTGACCACAATAAAAGTATATTTTTCCAACATCTGCTTTGAGCATAATTCTTTCCTCTATTTCATTTCTTTACTTCTTATTCATATATTAGATGAATATTTTCTGATGGTATCATAATAAGAAGAAACAATTCGGTAGAATTTTTCTAGTATGGTATTCAGCCGTTATTTCACATCTCACCTCAACAACATAACTGTTCATTTGATTTAATAATGAATTCACTGAAACAACGAGACATTTGGAAGCTGCGAATCCGTGCATGATAAATGAAGTAGTCAAGTGTACGCGCTGTGTGGATGCATTTTGAGTGACAACCAAAGCATTGATGGCGATGATTCTGAGTATTGTGTTCGGATGATGTTCGCTGTTGGCATTGTGTGTCTCTAATGCGTTGACGAACGTAAGAGGGCCGATCGGAATTGCAGTGTAGACTTAAATGCGTCAACTCTACACTCGAGCCATCCGCCTATATGCCGACAATCTTGTCTAATTCCATAATTACTGAAATAAAGCCATTCATTCTTTTTTCATCTGCTTCGTGTACATATCTTCTATTTTGCGTCTAAGTGATTTTTTTAAAGTGATTTTTTTAAAAAATACCACTTTTTGGGACCGTTATATAATGATTCGGATTCTTCGTTATTATTAGGCGACATGGGACCAGAGAAGTCGATCATTATTTACTCATTGTGCAGCACATACTCGTACTATTCGTTCGATAGCCGGCTATAGTGGAAAAAACCACAATTAGCTTAGGATTTCCACCATTTCCTTGCTCACAAAAGTCTGTCGGAATTCTTTACACCATTTCTGAGACAATTTATTGTTTTTAGAAAATTTCACCTCGGTTATAGTAATATGAACAGTCCCCAATGTAGAGACAAAATTCCGCCAATTGAATTTCAAAATGAAACTTTCAAATCTCATTCTTGAAGCATAGCGAAAAGCAAATCACAGGACCGACTTTCTCTTAGCCTTAGCATTGATAAATAGTACGCAATAGCTGATATTTCCCAGTTTTCGCCTTCTTAGGAGGTTGGAAGGTTGAATTGACCTGATATCTTCTCAGCCAAACACTTTCATAACCTCAATAGACAAGACTCAGCACATAAATTCTTATTTTCATAACGAGCAGTTTCCATCGAACACTCACTGTCCTTGCAAGCCTTCTAGTTATTTGGTGGAGAACAGCCTTTTCATGCGCTGAAGAAGGCGAAACTGCCGGAACCGCAGAAACGTCGACTATTGTGTGTTAGTAAATGAAGTAATAATAATATCGCGATACCTTACCAAAAAAAACAGTAAATTATTTTTAAAAATGTATAAATCTAAGAAATAAGAGATTAGAGTGAGGGTACGAAAACCTACATTATGTCAAGGAGTTGTTTGTGGAAATCGTAAGGGTTCACGATTCGTAATGCAGTTATTGATAGGTTTTTAAGAGGCTATTAAATATCAGCAATATGGATGAGTGCGTGTAGCAATACGGTAATCCACGACCGATTGCGCCATTCTGGGAGGTCCCGGTGGTTAGTGTTGGTTCAGGTGGCACGATCCCACTCTGGCGACGCGTTCATATTGGGTCAAAAGTCCACTCAACTGTTTTGAGCATCTCTACGGGACACGTTTGCTGCAAAAAACTCATTGTCTGTCGTTTATGTTCTATCCGCTTCAAATCTGTTGTGTCCATTTCTATCAATAGGATCTTAACTACTTGGTTTTAATCATTATATGCATGATTTAAACTAGACACTTTTCCCTGGTTTATCTTCATCCACGTGGAAAATTGCTTTGAAGCCTACTGTATTTATAGATAGGCGGATTTCAGGAACATTCCTTGCCATGTTTCTGGTAATGAAAGATCTAGTTTTACAATTTAGACTTTTTATCTTATGCTACTCTCTCAACGGTCTATCACCTCATCGTGGTCGGGAGTTGTACCTGGGTGTCGGCGTGCGATGCACAGCGGGAGGATTCATCTCTCTTAGCACAGTCTCCCAAGTTGAGAACGAGTCTGACGTTTCTGACGTTTCCATTAGGAAACCCAGCTAATAGTAAACAATACCAGACCCACCACCTTCCTGGTATCAAATTAGTCGCATGGCGAAAAATCTTCCTCTGATCCACAAAGGCGTCGACTGTCTGTGCTGATGACGACCTGGGTCAGACTTTTGCCAGGCTGACTTCGGGGTTCCAGGTAGCCACAATACCTAAACCACCAAAACTCCGAAAAAGAGGAAATCATGCGGGGCCGCACAATCAGTGAAGTTGGGCCATCCAAGTATCCAAGTAAGTATCTAATACACCGAGTCGTGCTTGTTCGTCGTGAGCTTATAATCTATGTTCTTTTTTTACACATAGATACTTTTCTGGCCCGTATAAATGATAGTCTGTGTTTGAAGACATTCAATTTAAAAACTAATTTAAGTTCAACTTTTTTTGTAAAAATATAATAAGCACGTATTAACTCTCGACAATGAATTGCTTTAGCATTTCATATAATCAAGATGACTGAACAGCAAGGCACCGATAAAGCGTTTAAACGGTTGAAGTTTAGAGATCAGAAACAAGGTCGATGAGCTCTCGTGCCAAGTCTGAACCAGATTTCGTTTTCTCAGAAAAAAGCTGCCGTTTTTGATTGGAACAACAATTGGAGGGTAAAAAGACGCAAAAATCTGTCCACTGTGTCGATTTTGGTGATATCTAATATTTTTGCCATTGTTTATGGGTTACGGCGTTTGTCTAGCGGTGCGAGTCCGAACGCGATCGCTGTCGCTCACGTTATAACCAAGCGTTACCAAACTGATGACAATTTCTCAAGCATGATATATGAGCTGCAAACATATGTTCGTCATTCATGGCTAATACGAACTAAGAAGTCCCAATTATTCTTGTGAAGTGGGCTCATGGGACGACCCACTTCTCATCATCACTGTTGCTTGGGCTGTATTACGCCACCAACACCATCAGCATCATCTTCATCACAAGAACAAACAAATGACTTTTAAAACCATTCACCCTCCTCATCATTTCCATGCACTTCATTTTGTCTCAGCATCCACTTCATCACTGTTGGAGTTCGTTTAGTAGTTGAGGTAAAATTTCACGTTGCTTCAACGCTTTATAATATCTCTCATATGAACTCGTATCTACGAAATATTAGCGACAGTCTACGAAAGCATGTATACTTTGAGCTAAGCCTAGATGTTTTTTTCAGCTTCACCAGCACCTTTTTTAAGATAGTTATGTTTTTTTTGCCGTTCTGAACTTTTCGTGAAATAGTCGTGATTCGAATTCATTTCTTCCAAGTAGTTAAAAAACACCAATGTTGTTTGTTTAGGAGACGATGCTGTTAAGGACTGTGATATTAGTAATAGTAGGAGTATCGGGTGAGTTCGATACCTATCTCACAATCTTACAAAATATTCATAATGTAGTATTTTGCAAGTCTTGAACAGGTTTTTGTTTACCGTCCTGTAGTTCCCAATATCTTTATGCACTTTGACGAAACGGTGAGCCATATTTGTTTAACATTTATTGCCATGTTAACATATTTTTGCTAAGCTATACATGCATAAATATTTGTATTTTTAGGATCACAGGTTTTCCTAAATCATCGTACTTTTACTACCTAGTCTTACCGGGGATGCAAAATTTGAAGCAAATTAGACTGTGATATCGTCGACTGTGTTGGAAATGTTTTTAGTTCTTAGTACTTCCAATGGGTTGACAGAGTTCTTTCTAACTTCAATAGTTTGTCTATTTCCTTTAAAAGGAACAACACCACATCACAATTTTTCTGCAAAAATTTCTGTATAGGATATGCACCAAATAATTTAAATAAGGGATCAAAATTGTTCTCCAGCGTTCGCCGAGGAGATTAATTCATATAACCCCGAATTCGGCGCCTTCATTGGCGAGCTGTCAAATTTGGCATATGGTGAAGTACGTGGAAAGGTCTACGTTGTGAACGAGACGACGTTTCAAATCATCAATTTCACCTATAATGGAAAGGCTCCCGGTCAGTGAATCTACTATTTTAAGACGAAAAAATGTTTGTAGTACTTACATTAACGGTTCCAGATACCTTCGAAAACAATCAGATTGGTAATCTGAGACTACTGGATTAAAATCGATAAACCAATCTAAATCATTACACTAGTATCAGTTTATTAATCTATTAAATTCTCATCAAATTTGTTAGCAACCTCTTAAAGTTCAATAGTTTTTGATCGATTAGTGAAATAAAATGGATACAGACTCTCAACAGGTCTGTGTGTGAATTTCAACAGTTCTAACATCTAATATGAATAAGCAAAGCGGAATGAAGCAGTAAAGCGCATGCAGCTCCAGCAAGCGACATGAATTGCATTATCTTCGGCTAAAATGTTCGTACTAAGTACTTGGCATAAGTGGTCCAGGGACTTGGCTAGGAAAAATTACGGTTGAAAATCTTTTTCTGGCGGTGGTAGGAACCGTTATTCCTTTTCGTAAAATATTCTATCTAGTAATAACAATTAAAAAGATTTTATCGAGATTTTAACCAGCGCTAGTTTTTCCAAACCCGACTTCAAATTGCTGCAATTCTAATGCAATACTTTCGAATTTTGTCTTGTTATTCTAGAAAGGAATCATTTAGTTAAGCAGATGTGATCGGTCGGCATTGGTTCTTTGCTATCGAGGTCACGTGTACATACAATTGTCAGTGTGAGAGGGTGTCGGTTGTGGAGATCGAACAAAGAAGGCGTCCATCCCGCTAAAACACTTGACTGGTATTGTTCCAAGGTGTTGTGAGAACAACCAGGTCTCAACACTCTAGATCTCTTAACCACAGACCCGATAGACTCACAAGACAATGCCCATGCAGGACCGATTTGACAGTAAGTGCTTCCGTGACGGATGAATCAAGAACCACCAAGCCTCAATATGTCACGTTATACGCATTCGTTTTCTAATGGGTACTCAAAAGGTTTATCTAACAAATGTAAAGCGTCAGTATTAGCAGTTTACCATTATCTTTAAATTAACTCTAGACATTATGAAGAAGTCTATTCTAGCATTTCATTAGAGTTGAAAGTGACTTTGAGAAGAAGTCAATGATTCTAATGGCTGATCATCTGAGCAATTTCTCCTGTCCTATCGAGACAAAACAGTAGCTCAGTAACCCATGCAGGTTCATAAAATATTAATGGTAAAAAAGCTACTGTAAGAAGATCGTTTACTAACGGTTTATTTGGACCCTAAATACACAAATGACGCTTGGTCTTTCCGGACCGATACTGCTCTCACACCGACTCAAACATTAATACGAGTTGTTATTAGCGGCAAAACATAGCTTGTTTTTTTCTAAAACTTTTCATTTTTGTTGTAAATAAAGAGTTTTATGAAATTTTGGTGGAACCAACCAAATTTTTTCGAAAGCTCCATATTAATATGGTTGCTTTAAAGTATTCCTTGATTTATCCCGAGCTATACAACTATCGTCACGGTAAAAAGACCTATTAAACATTAGGCTTAGAAAAAGTGCTCAGCTCAAGATCTCTTTTTCCTTATCTGTTTTATCACTATAGCTACTAGTAATTTTATTGATTTAATACAGCAGTGGTCTTTTTTGCTTTTTGCTGAAAAGTTGTCAACGTTTTCAAAACTGCGTGTGCCAATTTCAATGCGTGTAGATCCGACAACAATCACTTTATGAAAGTTATATATCTATTTACGATTAAATACTTAAATGAACTCACTTCAGGAAGAATCGCATAATCTCCAGCACACTTTCTATTTGACTAGTAATTTGCTGGTCCGCGATGATTCCCTTTCCGATGTCTCTGGAAATAACGATGTTATGGCATTCTTAGCTCCCTAGTACATAAAGCGGTAGTGTGGGCTAAGTGGCTATTTATAGAGAGGCGATTGCTAGTACTGCACCTTAGTACCTTAGTTGAACTTTCAAATGAAGATGTTGAACTTGAGGATCAATGGCGTGTACGTGTTCGACTTCGATGCCCCGGAATTGTTCTCCATTTGCAATGATGCGTTAACTCATTGGAAGATCTGAACTCAACATCATTAACACAACTCCTGAGATTCCTTGTGTTCTATAATTTAATAGAGAAATAATGATCACTTTCAATCTTTAGCCAACAAATTTTGGTTCGTATCAGATTTGCTAGCAAAAATGATATCCATTAGATTCATTCTAATGATGTATGTCAGTAAGATGAAAGTTTTTTATTTTAACACCACAAAATTTCGACCTTTCAGAACCGAGAGAACATTTTTCTCACTAGTTTTCATTGTGGTTCACATGGTGAGACGACTGAACAAAGAAAATCTTGTCAAGAAGAACGCCGTGTCGTTAATGTTTGCTCTCGCCGTTTTGCGTCAATTGTTTTGATATCGTCTCCACTTTTCTGAACATATCCATTTTAGGAAAATTTAGAAGTACTTATAAAAGATTGAAAAATTGCAAAATCAAATTCAAACGTTTGGAAAATCGTGCACACTCTTGTGATGAAACAATATCTCTTCCATAATTGCGTAAAATCTCGAATTTCGTAGGTGCTCTCTGCTTACCAAAGAAAATCACATTCTTGCAAACGTGTTAAAGCAAGATGGAAGAAAAAGAAAACAAATCGATGAAATGCTTAAAGTCGTGTGTCATTGTAGTACACTAAACTCTTGCTGGCAGCTCAACTGTTTCTAGGAGCTATCGTTTGGCAACAGTAGCCTACGCGGTGCTCCTACTTTGAAATATTACAGCGACTAAACCTAATGATTACATGGGCTCTCCTTGGCTAGGAGAAGTGAATATAAGCTTGCTCTCTTATGCATTCAAAACTAACGTCACAGTTTGTCTTCGACGAAGTTTTTCAAGTTGTCCAACGTGCAGAATTTCTTCCAATATTACCATCTCATTCAAAGCGTTCGACCGTTTCTTATTGCCTTATGCACATATTATTAACCTGTAATAATTTACAATCTGTAACTGCCATCGCTTCGATCCGCTACACCAATTTTCAAGGACTTTGAGCGATTGTTGTCGTTTAATATGACAGTCATGTCGTGCAGGTGAAGGTTGCAAGCGGCCAGCACGCGAAGTGATTTAGTGTGAGGTGGTGGTGGTGACCTTTAAGATAGGGCGACAACATATCGGCAATTCATCCAACTCACCGCCAAATCACTGCCGTCTGACACGAAAACGAAAAGCACTGGAAGTTAAATATGCAGCTGTGACTCCACCACTTTTGATCCTGATAACATCAACCGTCAAACAACAAACAGAAAGCAATCGTCAAGTTTGGAAGCGGAAAATATGAATCTCCTAGAATTTGTCACTTTCATCTCACACCCATGAAACTTGTACGCAGAATTCCAATTTCCAATTTTATCTCAGCAATTGTGTAGGAATCTAGAAAGATTGTTACATAACTTATAAAAACAAATCTACTGGAAAAAATGTTACTTAGTTAATGAATAAAATGTAGGCGGATTACTTCTTTCCTACTTCACCAAAGGGAGATCGAACAAAAGACTGCGCAATACTTGACATGAAGAGTTACAATATATAATATTTAAAATTGTATATAGGCTAGGTTAGTTATTAAATATCAGAAATACTTTCACTTTTTGCTAAGTGGCTTGAGACAATCTACTAGACCTGTTGAGCATTGGTGATCCTGAAGAACTCTTCATAAAGAAAATACATAAGAATCGCTAACATGCCACCAAAATATCTAGTATATGTAGGCATGGATTGCTAATTGGCTAATCAATCCTTTACTGTTCGTAGTTGAATAGTTGACAAGATTACAGAGGCTAAGCAATGTATGGGCCTGCTTGTAGGATAAGAACCAGTAACGAAATGTAGTCGTGACATTTAAGATATTTCTAGAGATATTTAAGATAAGTTTCAAAGAAACTACTCGGTGTGGAGATAATTATATATTTTTCATAAAAATAGTGTCTTCCTAGACAAATGAGACGTGAATGTACATTTAAAGCTGATCGTTTAAATATTTCCTAGTGATGGGCAACACCTTTATCCCTTGTCGTCCCACTGATCGTCGAGTGACTCGAGCGGGCACCAGTAATTTTTCCACTTTTCTACGTAACGCAAATATAGTCCAGTGGGTTCTGCTTGCTCTAAGGACTTGCTGATCATCATACCTTTCTTTTAGGGTTTTCGTGAAAAACTCTGACCATAGGATCGGTAATCTTCTTGCAGTACGTTTGAACTCCTGGTGAACTCAACCATTAACGACTCTAGTCCATTAGTTGTCGTTCATACGCATTAAGTGTCCGGCCCACCTTATCTTCGACAGTTTGTCTTATGAAACGGCGCCATTGATTTTTGATGGTTGACGTAGATTGGAACTTCGTATCCCTTTCCTCACTTGCATAATACGGATGCTCCTAGAATTATCCCTTTGTCTCCTCGTTGTATAAATCTTTCACCCTGCTTACGTAGCGATCAGGTTTCTGCCACATACATTAAAGCAAGAAGAATCGTGGAGTCGAAAGGTAGGCGCGGAGTCGGGTGGTCTTTTTTCTCATCACTACATTCTCGAAACTCCAAAACGCTTCCTGTGCCGCTCAGTTCCTCCTACTCAACTCTGGAGCTAAGCAGTTCATAATTTGATTTTCCGACCTAGATGGATGTAAGTGGAGCATACCGAGATACTCATTCTATTGAGCATGAATAGGGCACGCGAAACCAATACGTTTCTCATGAACATCGTTTTTGCGAGGTTTAGTCCAAAACTGATCTTTCCATTGGCCTTATCATAGTCGGCCGGCATTCTTTCCGCTTGGCTGATATTTTTCTTATAAGAACGATTTCGTAATCGAAGCGAAAATGGTATAACTGCCTCCATCAATTTTCTCTCCCGTGTTTTCCTATTCCGGTGTTCACACGGCGTCGTCGAGGATAGCGGTAATAAATTTTGGCGAGAAGGTATCTCTGCTTAACTTCATTTTTGACATCGATGTTAGTACCGTTGTAGAATGGTTATATCGTAGTCGTAAAACTTTTACATAGCTTGCTAAAAACCATTATATACTGAGCAGACACTTCTAGCTGTTCTGGGCTTCCATGACTGATTCCATCTCAACTGAGTCAAAAGCTTTCTTTAAATCGATGAAAGTGAGGCAGAGGCGTCTCCCGTACTATGCCGATACTTCAGTGAGTTTTGTTAATTTGTTGATATAATCCGTCGCACTAAATCCTTTTCGAAACCGATCCTGCTTTCTCACAGCGCTTCAGTGTTCTGTCAATCCTACTTAGGACGACTCGAGTGCAAAGTTTGCAGATTACAGACAGTTAGTAGGCTGGGCTATAGCTGCCGATATCGTTGAGGATACGTTTTTAGAACTATAACACGGTCTTGTTGCTTTTCCACTGAATAGAAGGCTTAAATCCTAAAAGGTAGCGTGTGAAGAGCCAAGCCAGTTTATCTATACGGACCGTTCTTCAGCTGTTCAGCGTTGTTGTAGGTCCAATCTTAGCACTAAAATATCCATTGATGACCTTGAAGAATGTATGTTCTTCTCAGTTTTCTCTATACAACTTCTCCTAGGCCACATTGAACGCTTCAACTTCTTCTTCATCGTAGCGTGATGCCGGCGCGTTAACAATGAGGATTGTCAAGGCCGGTAATGGTCCACACCTCTTCAATCGCAAAAGTTTCACAGGGGTTACTAGCTTTTCGAATGGATCGATGTCTACAAACTCATGTTTACGTGAAGACGACGCTGCCGAGTCCTCTACTGTGGCAATTCCGAGGAACAGTTCTTCTCCGGGAGTCAAAGACGACCGTTGAATGCACGACTTCTTTTCTTCACACCCAGCCCGATGATTGCGTGTTTTATACTTTTTGCATGCATGATCGAGCCTTTTATCGAGGGCTCAGATGAATATGTGCATGCATTGTAGTTACAGATCGTTACCTTAATCTTTTGCGATTTAAGCAGCTTAGAATGCCTCTAAGATTTTAGCAGGCTTTCCGTACTTGCCCTACTAAACGCTGCTGAATCGGCGGCTCTTTCGTGGTCAGAGGGTATGACGCCCTTTTATTTTACCGTGCTAGGCTTTTCGATTGCCGCGTAACGCTTGCACGACTCTGAACGTGGGGCTGGGTTTAGCTCACGGGTGGCCTGCCATTTTTCCCAGAGAAGATGGTGAAGCTCGTTTGCTTGAGGTAACTCCTAAGTGTATCCTATATATTTCCCAGTCGCTTGAATTTGATGTTTTGGCCGAACGGGTTTCTAGAATACAATCCGACTAAACGAAAGCACAACCTCGCACGCATGCATGAGTACGTCTTCGTAATTACAGAAGGTATATGCCAAACCGGTCCAATGGAAACAGGAGGCCCATTCCCTGAGTATACCTGCGTCCCAGAGAAGCAATGGTTTGTTTTGTAGTCCATGATCAAACTCCTATTCACCACATGTGGGCGATCCAAGTAGCGTTTTAACAACTCATGAGATCCGAGTGAGATCAGTGTAATGATGACCGCATAAAAAGTTCTTTAAAAAATAGCCGAAGAGGCAAAAGTCGGAGACTAAGATCGAAAATCACTGCAGTTAGTTGGTACTGGAACTCGTTCAAGATGTTCTGCGATGAAATTGATATTCGTTCCATTTTTCCAATTCAGATCTTTACTTCTGGATGGATCGCAAGGAGAATCCGACAAGAGATGGAGTTAAGATACCATCTCTTGAATACGGGTAGGGCTTCTTTATTAATAAAAAGTGTCGTAACTGAAAAAGCAGCAATAGATTCACCTTTTAGAGTCACTCCTCTCGGAAAATACGACAATGTTGAGCGAGTTGTTCTTATGTTGCCTCGACGGCATAAATTCACCAACTTTAAAAGTTTCTCACTTTTCTGCTACAAATACGAGGTAATTTCATTTGGAACCAGGACAGTGGAATTTAAAAGCACATTGATAGCGTAGTTAGGAATAGTAGGAAAAATAAAGGATCCTATTTAGCATAATTACGGATCCGTCCTCATTCCTGAGAATCTCATCATTCCACGTCCGCAGTTCTTAGCCAGTGAATTAAAGGGCAGCCGGTTAGAAAATTATAATTGCGTCCAGAAAGTCAAGCCACAAATAAATTTTTGCGGAAAGAAATCAAGTGGTTTAGATATTCTGTTGGATCAGGTCCAATTCTGATCATGGATAAAAGAACAATAAAAATTTTCGGATTCACATTCGACGGTGATAAAGCGCCAGGTGGGTGTGATTTATTTATGAACTAAAATAATTGCATGAATTTAGTACCAGTGTGTTACCATGTAGAGCTCTCTTTTCTCTTTGCATTTCCATTCGTATTTTTTATTAAACAGGAGATGAGATCGTTCACGTGATTAGCTGCATGTTTTTATCTAGAAAACAAGTTAAAACTGTTTTCAAGAGTCCAGAATAACAGTTTAGATGGATATTTCTTCGTTGGACGTGGACCGAATGTAGCTCATGATGCCGGGGTAAAGGTACCGATACGCGGTCGTGATACACCTGAACTGTAAGCATTTTCCTCTTGTTCATCTTTTCTTTCTCCCTATTTTCCTTCAGACTTTCGATATTCTCGTCCCAATTTTAATGAACGTTCCGGTCGGTGCCATGCAGGAAGATTCATTTTGTTATCAGTGATGCTTTGAGTGTAAACAGCTATTGTTACAGCAGTTTGATTAAAGAACAATTCTTTGGCGGCTCCATAAACACATAAAGGAAAGCTGCTACCTTAGAGCTCAAAACGAAACCGAACATAGTCATCTTAACAAACCGCTATATTGTTTTTAACTCATTTTTGAAGTTCTCGAAGCTTTAATATAAAAAAATCGAATTTATTTCTATAGATTACCATCCAAACGATTGAATTATTGGCTCTATTCAATTCTAAACAATCATAAACACTTAAAGTTCTTTCTTCTTTATGAAAAAGTAAAAAAATAAATTATGGGCGCTCCTGGCGCAGTGGTCGGAGGCACCCTGCATCACACACGTGGGATCGATCCTCGGTGGGAGGATAGCAGCACTGACTCAATACATCGGTAGACCACGGCGAGTCCTTGTAAAGGTCAGATGTGCATTCAATCACCTCCAAACGATGCTTAATAAAGGCGAATGCATGGCGCATCCCTCAGGGATTGTTGAACGCCGAGGGCTTTATCCTTTTATCCTTTATCCTTTTATGAAATAATATAAGTGAGATTGATAAATACTGATATCTCTGCAAACATATCCTTATATAATGTAGAATATAATGTAGTGTTTTTAAGTTTTCTTCACAAAATTAGTCCTTTTTCAATACAAGTTTAATGCTATGAAATAGTGCTAGTCACATTTCCTCAAAACTACGTCTAAGCTCTAATGTATTCTGACTACCGAGAAAAATAAAATTAAACTATTACAAACCACCTAGCCATCAAAGAAGACGCAAAGTTCGTCATATGGGTTATCTCATCAGATTCTACTAATGCTTTGGAAGTCGTCATATTCAATGCATCCCTTGTTGTGCCAATAGAAACAAAGAAAACTTTCGCCTGCTACACGCCTAGGGAGTAACAGTAGCCTAAGTTGGAGCACTTAGTCACATCTTTTGCGCAGCATTTATTTTGCTCTTGAATGCTTTTAGGAAGCAAAGCTTTTCACTCGCTTCTTTTATATGTTTTTTCTTTACATTTAGAATTTAAGTTAGAGTTTTCCTATTTCTAAGAAAGAATTATAAGACGTTTTGTTATTACCAGGATCACAGCTATGAATGAACGATATCGAGGCGGGCAGGACATCATCATTGATCTTCCACCTGATTACGATATTCACCATGTGGACTGGTTGTCCGTCTACTGTTACAAATTCCGTGTCGATTTCGGTCATGTAGCGATTTCAAATATTTCATCAAGGATTCCGCCATACGTCCCACCGCAGAAAAGAGTGAGTACGCTGGAAAATTTTTGCTTTCAAAGGGTTTTCATGGCCTACTGATATTATGATTCCAAGTAGTTCTTCTCTATGTATGTTTTTTTGAACACTTTTCTTCACTTTTTATAGGTATCTCAAAAACAATGAAGAAAACGACTTTCAAAATGTTGGGCTTGTTGAGCGTTAAACTAACATCGTGTTGTTCTAAGGCGTTCAATAAACATGCTTTGTTGGCATTTTACAAGGTTGTTGTACGTTCAAGGTCGATTCCGCTGAGGTTTTTCTTGCGAACAGTCGTGTATGTCGTGATAAAAAAATAATAATAGTATAACAGATAGACGAGAAGTGCAAGCTTAATGAATGTAATGGTTACTTTTACATTAAATTAAATTCAGTCGAATGATATTGCAACAACAGTTGGTGCTTGGCCAGTGACGTCGCTACTCGGCAATGAAAATCGACGAAACTTCACTTTCCAACTTGGTGTTCCGGGTGGAAAAAAAGGATATCAAGTGAGCAAATCATATTTAGAATGAAATCATGATATTTCAGTTATGATGGTAGTCATGCAATTATGATAATCATTAATCATGTAAACCTTGATAAATGGAACAATTTTAGTCTATGACCCATGCTCGACCGGCGAAATATGTGTGGTATGTCAATGGCATGCTGGCCGATATCTACCTGAAACGCGGTGTTACATATACTTTCATGTAAATGAACCTCTGACTTGATTTTGTTAATTTCGTTTAGTTGAAAAGCAAAGACATTAGAAAAATTACTCGCTATTAAGGTTAGTTAATGTTTTTCTTGGTGATTCTTAGTCATTAGATTAATTAACACCTGATGGCGTAATGAAGAATGCTAGTTCATTTACTGTTCTACAACTAAAAGGTTGAGCCTTTAACATTCAGAGTCGAAGGTGGTTCTGACAAATCTACGTCAGACTTCTTCAATCCGCTTTATGTTTCTGACGACCAGTTTGGTGGCTACGGCAAGTTAAGCAATGAGGAGAAGGAGGTTAACTACAAGATAATCATTTTGAAGTGTAAATGTGTAGGAGATAAGGACACACCTAAATTTTGTCAAAACCAAGCCTTAAAGATTTTTTGCTTCAAACGTTTTCTTATAACAGAACACAATGCAATTATTGTTTAAATAGTAATAAAAAGAACTATAAATAGAAGAAAATATGTCCACGTCTACGCTAATCAAACAAATGAGAAGTTCTCATGAAAGATTTCTTATCCCGATTGGATCAGAAGTGGTTCAGTGTCCCAACATCTCGATGAAGAATTGTTCTGAAGTTCTTTTTCAGCAAGTGTCAGTGTTTTCTGGATCTGATCCATCGCGTGCAGCCGGTCGACTATGCATTTGGTCAAATGACGGTGGGTTCACTTCAGAAACGTTATGAAGCCTAAATTTCTATGATTCTTGTTAAAATCAGACATCCATATGTGTACGAAATTCGTGTTAATGACTTCGTTCGAAAACGTCAGTGGTTCTAACCTGAACTAGGGATGTCAAAACGATGGATACTTACTTACTTGATACTTGAACGGCCCATCTTCACTAGTTGTGCGGACCTCAGCATAATCACCCTTTTTCGGAGATTTGCTGGTTAAGCCCTTGTGGTTCCCTGGAATCCCGAAGACAACCTGACCAAAGTCTGCTCCAGATCGTCACCACCACAGGCAGCCACAACTCTTGTGGATCATAGGGAGATTTGCCACCATGCGACTTTGATACCAGAACGGTGGTAGACCCTGGTATTGGTTTACTCTTAGCTAAGCTTCCTAATGAAAACGCCAGACTCCTTCCCAGCTTGGAAGACCATGCCGGGAGATGAATCTCCCGCTGTACATCGCAGTCCGACACTCAGGAACACCTCCAAGTCACGATGAGGCGGTAAACCGTTGGGAGGAAGCGATGGATAGTTAAATATTATCAGTTATAAAAAAAGACCACATTTGTGTCTCTACAACTGCGGTCGTCTAATGAAGTGGTTCATCCACCCTTTTTTGTGCACTCTGATGCACCTTCCTGTTTAAATTCTTCAGTTTTTTTTACATCTCCTCACTCTGTTGTGTATGCAATAATCAGTGATAATGAAGTTTTTCATACAGATGATAGAGAGCGAAGACGGTTAGGTCATGTGATAAGATCCTATGTGGTTGAAAAGTTGAGCAACTAATGAAATGTCATCGGCATTTTTTATGAGAGCACCTCTCTACCTGTATCGAGAGCTCTGGGTTAGTCTTGAGCTGGTGGATTTCGATCTTTTGGCGATGTTCTCCTGCAGTGTGAAATTTCATTTAACCTTAGGTCTCAGACAGAGCTCGATATTGTATCCGTGCAGCAGGAAGTGAATTTCAAAGAATGTTGTCGGCATTTTATAGAGGTTCACTACAACATTTGGCATAGCCTTGGAATATGATCGCCAGTACACGTCGGCGTTATAGAATTTTGTTAAGCATCGATGTTGATTTTGCTGTTTGTTCAAGAATGTTTAAAAAAATGTAAGTGGATAACCTCCCATAGTGTTTTCGGCTAATGGTAACAAGTAACCAATAGTTTGTGTGGATTATTTGAAGCTATGCTAGCATGTAACAGATTTACATGGAGAAGATTGTTTCAACGCAGGTAGGCAGCACCGGCTCAAGTGATGTAGGTTCTTCTCCAATGTTGGTTTTTGTCTAAGAAACGTCGGATGGTTTTAATTGCCTCTGTTTTCGACGCATACACTAACCTGCCAGTTCTGTCATGAAGCCATGACACTAGTTCTATTGCCGCTGTTATTATGATCAGTATTGCTAAGAGTAATCACGTCTTGATTTAGAATGTTGTTTTATTATAGCGCCGAACCTATTCCCTAGAAAGCATAGATCTGCAGGACATCCTTGATAAGGCGGGCTCGCCTTCGAAAAATGCTTATATTTCAGTATTAACCTAGTTTAAATAATATAAAAAGACCAGGGAACTCTTACCCTTTTGTTTTTTACTTCGAAATTTTTGGTGAAACTATAACGTAACAATTTTTCAGAAAACACGGATCCTGACCAGTTTTCCTCATTCACAGAGTTTCGAAAAACCTTACGCTTGAAGTGTGAAGGAGATAAAGTTGCTGCTACATTTCGGTTCACACCAGGTGATAAAACACCTGATACACTGTATTATCAGGTGAGATAGTCATTGTTACTATGCTGTTTAAAAGGGGCGCTTGTAGTCCAGTGGTCAGAGGTGCGCTGCAATACACATAGGGTCGATCCCCGCGTCCCAGGCTTCCATCACTTTCTTCCCAGGGTGTGCAAATTGGTAACAGACTTGGTGGGAGGATGGCAGCACCGGCTCAACAAATCGGTAGGTTACGGCGAGTCATTGCAAAGGCGAGACATGCATCCAGTCACTTCTAACAATACTTAATGAAGTCGAATGCACGACGCCTCCCCCAGGGATTGATCAACGCCGAGAGTTGTAACCTTTATCCTCTATGCTATTCAAAATAAGTGCGTGTGTAAACCTTCGTCGCCATCATCGTTAAGCAACTTAAGTCATTATATAGCAAAATGAATACAGGTGAATACGTGATACATCTCCGAGCGGTCGATCAACACGGAAAGTTTTAACGCTATTATGTTGTTAGAAGTGTAGAAGTTACCCCTAGATGGAGTAATTATAGGTACAAACAATATTTCATCGAACATTTTATGATCACAAGTGTCCAAAAAACACGAAGCACTAACCAATACTATTGTGTAGAAGGTTGAAAAAATTGTAATCAGTGATGAAATAATTGCTACTGAGCCCAAGATTCTTATGGAATCATTTACAATGCCGGTAATTTAAGCAGAAAGTGGAGCTGTAGCCAACCAGAATACGAATAACTAAGAAAACCTGAAAATGAAGCTGAGTGATTCCTCCGAAGATGAAAATGACTGTGTAACCGTGGTAAAGTTGAGGACTGAGCTAAGTTCCGTTGAACTGCGTAGTTTGGAAAAGAAGAACACACATTGTGTGAGCAAAAGCGAAAGTCGCTGTTTTACCCAGCGAAAAGCAAGTTATTCTCGAACGAATCGTTGCTAATTTGCATCAGAATAGATACTCACTCGCGAATAAGTCGATTCTCAATATTCCTTCCGACGTCGACGTCGATGTGAGCGCCGCATATTTTTGCGACTCCCTCAAAAATCAAGGAAGCTGGAGAAAAAGTTAACAGGTGTATTAATACCTGTTTGTCGTCTATGTCGAACAATTGCGCTGATTGGTCTAAGAACACACCTGCCATCGGTTAATTAAAAATCATAGAAATTGTTCTGCATGAAACACTCTAGAAGATTACATTAATCTCATAGAACAAAGATGAAAAACGAGAAAAGAATCGATGTGCGACTTTCTTATGAATTTTGGATTATACAGTAACATCATCGTGACAATTTTAATTCATACTTTTTTTACTTGTTAAACTAGAATGTGTTCAAGCTGCTGAATAAGAGCAATATCCATGTTTTCATTATCACAAAGATTAAACTATTTTTCTAACCACTGTCTGGACCTATTTGTAAAACATTTTGTATCCCTCTTCTATAGCACAGAAATCTGTGTGAAATTGATTGCTTCTGAACAATTTCTTAAGGTCCGGTGATTTTTTTCTTTTTTGTAAGAGTTCTTTCAAGCGTAGAGCACAGCAAGCATAAAATCGACACTCATTATTTTTCAATTTCGTGACTGTTTTCCTATTTATAAAAACTTTTTCAGAGCTACTCAAACTACAATATGGGTTCGAAAATTCATATCGTAAACGAATTACCAACAACAATCGCCGATATAAAGGAAGAGCCGTACATTTATGAACAATGGTTGCGGACGCAGAAAATAAAAGAACGTCAAACTTCGTCGACGGCACGGTTCTGCTGCACGCTCATTTATGCGCTTCTTTCGATCATTCTGTTCTGAGATTGCTTCAGATCATTAAGCGGGTTTTATCCATCATTGGTATTCATTAATTCTTTCAACAAATGAGTTTCACCAGCGCTTCAAATATTCTAATCTATACGCTTTTCTTCCTCTTTTTCTTCTTCTTCTTCTTCTTCTTCTTCTTCTTCTTCTTCTTCTTCTTCTTCTTCTTCTTCTCTCTCTCTCTCTCTCTCTCAGACTGACATAACTATTACGAATATGCGAGCTCTATCCTCTCATTATTTCAACGATTCATCGCTTCTTCATCTTTTAAATCGTTATGTGCTCTCGTTTACATTTGGTGTCATAATACTTTATTGTTATTTTTATTGAAAATATCACATTGTGATGTGTAAACACATTCTTGCGCACTTTCTTTCCCTCTACCTAATGAATAATTTTAAAATGTGTTGTACTTGCTTGTGGTTTTGCTCTGTTGTTTTTAATTTTGTACACACTAGTCAAATAATAGGGGCGGGTGTGGCGCAGTGGTTGGAGGCGGCCTTCAACAGACACGTGGAATCGATCGCCGCGCTCATGGCCCACCAAGCCTTCCATCTCTCCGGGGCCGGCAAATTGGTACCAGACTCGTTCGTCTGCGAGGATAGCAGCACTGGCTCGATGCATCGGTAGGCCACTGCGAATTATTGTAAAGGCCAGATATTCATTCAATCGCCTCCAACGATACTTAGTGAAGTCGAATGCATGGTGCATCCCTCAGGGATTGATCAACGCCGAGAAGTTTATCCTTTTATCCTTTTATCAAATAGTGTTACCAGCTCTGATGTCTCCTTATGAAACTTATCACTTACTTTGATAATGACGTCACTATCTTCTTGTAAGGCGGATGTAAAGGAGAGATTTTCATTTTTTCTGCATTTTTTCATGGTAAAGTAAAATATGATCTAGGGTTTTATTCTCAGCATTTAATCAATAGCTAAAGTTAACTAACCAATAAGCGAACGCCCAATGAATTACACTAAAAAAAAGAGCAATATAGAATAGAATGGACTAGCGATCCATCTGTTCTTCCTAAGAATTTGAGTACATTCCACCTTTAAAATATGGCCAATTTCGAAAACACTACTCTTCCAGATTCTTACCCATGCTTCACCATATGGAAGGAATCCTTTTATGTGACTTCCGCACAGAACTCTTTGAATAAGTTTTAAGATGGTTGCAATCTGGAGGAGGCCGTGGAATTTCTTGTGTACTAAAGGCATTTTTAGTTCTGTTCACAAGAAGCGCTCTTAACGGCTCTCCTGACAAAGCCGTGAAGAAGCTTCTCAAGTATACCTTTGTATGGTTGCGTGAATAGAGCCTTAACGCGCATGCTTCACTGAATGTATGAAAGACGAACGAATCGTATTGGGGCAAAAACACAAGCACAAATTGATAGGCTTCACTCCGCGCAGTCCTCTATATTCCAGCTTCATGGGGTTAAGGAAAGGAGTAAGTTCATCAATAAATCGATAGTATTGGCAATTTCATAGAGCCTAGCCACTCGGATACACTATAACAAGCTTTTTATCTTTGTAAGCTAAGCTGTTAAAGTGATGAGCTGATCTTATGCATGACGGTAATTCAATTTTTATACATCTCTTCACGGAAAAATTTTTCTTCCGACGTCGATCACAACGCTTAACAACTGGTGTCAAAAGACTGGCAATGAATCAGCTTAGTTCAGATAAATTTTTTAACTGAATAATAGCAATATTGCATCACAATCATAGAAGGACAAAAGGATGAAGTTCCCGGCTTTGATCAATCCCTGAGGTATGCACCATACATTCAACATCGTTAAGTGTCGTTTAGAGGTGATTGAATTTATGTCTGGCTTCTAGAATGACTCGTGGTGGCCTACGGATGTATCGAGCCAATGCTGCTATCCTCCCAACAATTCTGGTACCAATCTGCTGACCCTGGAGGAAAGGAGGGCTTGGTGGGCATGGGCGTCGTGATCGATTCCACGTGCGTGTTGCAGAGCGCCTCCGACCACTGTGCCACACGAGCCCTTTTATTACAATCATAATCAATCAAAGTGTGGAATCTCGAGATGAAAACCACTGTTCGTAAATCGGCCGTGAGAAATGAATGTTTTTCACAACAATTTTATTTTTGTGGGAAAAGATGGATAAGAAGAGAATAGAAACAACCCGTTAAAGAAAATCTTCGCCTTCGAGAAAGAAGTTCAGTTGCTTCGCAGTTTGACAGTGGACAAAATGCTTTAATACACGTAGGGAGATCTTTCAAAAGACTCGGTCTCTGAACACTTCAAAAGGATAATGTTTGTTTTTTTCTACCATGTGTAATTATGAGAATTTGCATTAAGATGGATCTGGGCTCTAAGCCGCAATCGCTGAGTATTTTCTACAGATTGGCTCATGCTTTAGTTTCCAATGTGGCAGCATAGGTCGGAATTTCAGATTCTCTGCTCGAGAACAGTGACTGATATTTCATCGCCCTCAGTTAGCACTGCTGCTTTTGAAATGTGGGTTTGAGTTAAGAAAAACGGTAACTTTGGTGGAGTGGTTTAGTAGCGATGCTTTTCCGTTCAGCATGATGGGATGGGTTAAGGAGCATTGCTTTTCCCTTGAACACTGTCAGTGATGGGATGCTCCTGTAAACTCTTCAAATTGTTCGCTTTCTCTTACTCCTCTCAAGAACTATGCTATACACTTGGTTGCTTGCCAACTCGGATGTGCATGCAACTAAGACAACCAGCGAAATTCTTTTTATCAGGAAGTGAATACAGTGGAACAACTCCGCTCCTCGTGAAGTTCGTTTCTCGCTTAGCCGAATATGATCTTCCAACAAGGAAATGACGCAGTTCAAAGCAGAAAGAATTGTGTTGTTAGAAATTAGCCACAGTGACGGGTTTCTCTGCTTCATTTACTTCTTCCTGTGAGCTATGCCACCCTTCAATTTTCTTTTGATTAATTCTCGAGCCAAATCGTTTATTATATTGACTTCGCAACCTAAATGCATGCGTAGAAACGAGATTGTTTCATAGAAATATCGTTATTTTTTTTGGTTTAACCATAGTGCAATATTTCTACATGAGCTGTTCAAGTCATCCACAATAGTTCATCCTTGCTAATACCTTGTATTATAAGAACAATGTCATCACTGAAGCAAACAAGTATTAGCCACTAACGAACACTATTCACGAACACAATGTCTCCTTTACAGTTTGCGCCTTATATTCTGGAGCGTGTTACTGGTTACTATGGAGGCACTGTATTGCTTCGTCGAACTCTCTTGCGCTGGGGAAAACTCATTTATAGAATTTAAAAGTATAAGTTCCAAAGTCATTTCGTAGTTCATAAGTTATCATTGTGCATTTAATAGTGAAGGCGTCGAACTTCAGAGAGCATCTTGCCGACAACTGTAGGCTATATAATCCTTTTACAGTGTCGAGATTCGCAAGTCTCGTAGCCAAGTCATGCTTGGTCGCTCATCTGCATTAAGTCAACGTTCTCTCTCCTTTTGACAGAAACTCGAGATAATGACTGGGAACTTTATATACCGAGAAGCAGCAAGTGGAAAGCAAGGCCAGGGTGTTTATGAAGACTGGAAGTAGACTCTTCAGTTATTCTGGTTCAGTCTTTACAAGCCAGCTGCAGCTGTTCACCGACGGGGTAGCTGTTCACCAAAAAGGTGGATGTTCACCGAAGAGATAGCACGTCAGTCTTAGAAAGGAAGAGCTGTTGGAACGTTATACGCATACACCTTAAGGTGATGTGAAGTCGGATTATTGTGGCTGTTCAAAGCAATCGGACTAATCCTAGATGCGTGAACTATTCTAACTGGGTACATGAGGTTCATCATCTTTTTCTTCCAGTTGGAAAAGTCATGTTCATGTAGAACTTTTCTGATTCGTATTCGTGTCTTTGAGCTCTCACCTCGTTATGCTCTATTTTAATGTATCAGCACCACGTCCAATATTCAGAGCAAAGGACTTTTTGAGAGAAGGTTCATTAGGAATGGTCCGAGTATTCGAAATGGGAGCCTTTATTGTTTGGCACCATTCCAATTCAATCAGCTCCCATGAGATGCTTTTCAGACAAACTCCTAGGTTCCATCGTGTCACTTATGACGGTAACGTAAAAACTGTGGTTCTTAATGAAAAACCTCTTGATTTCTTTAGGTAACACTTTCTGGTCATTCTCACCTTAGATTGATGTTAGCGCGTAAGTAACGATGAAATCGATCACCACATACATTTTCTGCTCCAGAGGTTGGATTCAGTTCTTAGGTTACCAAAAAAATGAATCTTTAGTGTATTATCCAATTTAAGAAAGAGTTTAGTACTATTGACTGTATTTAGTGGGTTAAGTGTTCTCTTCTCGCTCAAACCGATACTTTATAGCATGATGAATACCTCAAAAGGTTATTCACCGCACTCTTTTACCAGTTATACAAGTCTTTTATATCCTATTTGATTGACAAGCTATTGTTTTTTTTCTACACAGTGTTTTTACCAAATATTTTTTCCTCTAACGTTTCAACAGTTTTGAGGAATTTGGAGATGTCGAAACGTTGGCCGAAAAATGTTTAGTAACAACCTCGTCTTAGCTTACCAGTGAAAAGAGATACATTGATCATTAACACCAAGAATAAATTAAGGTCGGTTTACAATAGTATTTTTGCTTTCTGTGCAAGTCTTTTGTGTTTCGAACAATCCCTCATCGCTTAATAGACGTGATACATGCGAAATGCATAAGAACATTGGGTGAAGTACGTGCTGTGAATCAGAGTCAACGGCACACTTCTCGAATTTACTTATCTTGAGACATTTATATTGCATGCTTTTTCATCTAATTCCCTATCTGATCAACTAGAAAGAGTTACATATGCTTATGAAGAACTCTAAAATTCTCACGTGAGGTAAAGCTGTTAATGCATGCATTTTTTCCGTTGCATATTTTATCATCGGGTGCTGAGGTACGCTCCCTTATTGGTTTGCCGCTTCGTCATGGTTACTCTGTGATGTTGTGTCTCAAAGTGAAGCGTAGAAAAGGGTGCTTATCAATGGTTCTCGAAACTAAAAAGGAGGCCAATATTTCCAGCCGGATATCCAGCTATGACCAGATTGATGCCAGAAATCTTTGTCGCGCTAACTTAACTATGCCACTGCACAGATCTCTCTCTAACACTACGGTGGAAATCTTTCCCAAACTTACAAAATGCCGTTATTTAGCGAGTTAGTTAGAGCGTTTGTCATTATTTCTAAGCACAGGACATTTAGGCATTGCAGTAGGTGAGATACGGATTCTAGAGTTGTCATGTAATATATTGTAGTTTTCCAATAATCAGAATCTAATACGTGACAAACGAAAGCTTCATGTTTAACTGCACCATCATGAACGTATTGATAGCCAGCAATCCGAGATGTATTAATGCGAACATTGAGGTAATCAACGATATTTATGACAAATGTAGTGAGCACAGGGTTTAAACCTTCATTATAAACGATTGTCAAGGAAAGAATATGCTAAGAAGTCGTGATAGACAATGTGATCCGAGTATGAGAAAATGCTAGTCATTCTTGGAGCATTTGAATTTTGGTCTTCAATCATATACTGAAAAGAAATCTTCCAAAAAAATGTTGCTTACTGACTGAAAAGGTTGGTTTGTTGGAAACAAAACTGCAAGGTTTTAATCTGTAAAGCGGAAGCACCTATCTAGCTAATTATCTTCTTCCAGTAAAAACTATTTTAACGATTTTTATTCAAATTAATAAGTTGAGCATAAATGAGCTCTTTTTCTTTCCCATACTAAATCTTATTCAAGTCATCTTGTTTTCCTGTGCAGCCTAATACAATGCTTTCGTATTCTTTTTGATTCATGAGAGCTTCGACCTGCTTAAATCTGCCCTTCTAGTGATAACCGCGGGCGTGGATAAGGAAGGTGTTAGAGGGTTTTGGTTTGATCGCGTACTTTAAGGCGAGCCAAGTCCATCCCTTCAGAGTCAGCAAGCTGTTGCCATAGTTCATTGCATAGGCCAGATATGTATTCAGGCACCTCTACGATGCTTCATGAAGTCGAATTCATGACGCATCCTTTAGTGGTTGATTGATGCCGAATACTTCATCCTTTATCGTTTATTGATAAGAATATTCGTACAAATAAGTTTTAGGGTACATTGTGAAGCCATTGTAGCTGATTGATCTTCAGTGGGGTTTGGTGGCTGTCACGGTGCTGAGCTAATGGCGGTGAAAAGTTGCATTGGCGATTGACCAATTGTTTTTTTTTCTTTCGTCAGTTGCTATACAACGTACGATTGAACACACTAAGCATCAGTGACAGATAGGCATATCATATCCTTAGGAAATGCAAAGTGGCGGGAGTATTGATACGAATGTATGACATTGTTGTGCAGGATAATGGGTCATCATAGCATTTTCCTTTGTCGGCCGTTAATTTTTGTAATCTTGATGATACTTCCAAAGAAAAAATCTGACTGAAGATGTTCGGGGCGTAGCAGGCATGGATAGACATAAGAACACATACATGTTTACAAACATGTGCATGCATACATAGACACAGAAATCCATACAAGCATATGTGCATACATAGATACATACATTACATGCATACAGATATATAGCGCTTGTGGCGCAGCGGTCGGAGGCGCCCTGCAGCACACACGAGGGATCGATCCTCGCGCCCATGGTCCACCAAGCCTTCCATTCCTCCGGAGTCGGTGAATTGGTTCCAGACTTACCTGGGGGGGGGGGGGGGGGGNGGGGGGGGGGGGGGGGGGGGGGGCAGCAACACTGGTTCAATACATCGGCAGGCCACCGCGAATTACTGGAAAGGCTAGATATGGATTCAATCACCTCCAACGATACTTTGTGAAGTCGAATGCATGGTGCATCCCTGAGGGATTGATCAACGCCGAGAGCTTTATCCTTTTATCCTTTATACACATATGCACACTACGTCTTGTGTAGAAAAGAAAATATAGGTAATTTTTCCGCAGAAGATGGCAAAAGTACAAGAAAATTCGGAAAGACGGTTGATAGTGATGGCACAAACACGTCATATGTTCGGCTTCTTTGTTACGTGTCCTGACAAGGCGTAGAAACTTTATCGAGCAAAAAATAAGGAAGGAAAGAAAAGTGGAGTGAAATCGTTGTAAGTGATGAATGAATAATTTAACGCATGTGTATATTGTAGTTTCGTTATTACACCCTTGTGATTAGCAAGTTTCTATTTTACAAATAGATATTTGCTGATCCATTGTTTGCATAGTCTTTAACCTTTCGGGTATCCCTGAACAAATGATGACGAGTGGATTTTCTTTAGGAATATCCTTGTTTGCGTGCTAAAGTGTCAAGCTGACGCATCTCGGTTAATATGCATCAATCGTTCACCTTGTCGATTATTATCTAATGGAGTGTCTTCCGTGACTCTTCACATCCATTATTAACCCTCACCGTATACCTTTAGATGCAAATTTATAATAGCGCTTATATCCGTCCATGCGTCCATTAGCGTGAATTTCCTACCATAACCGACGACAGCAAGCCGAATAACTGAGCGTTTTGTCGAGTGTCTATGATCAAATCCGCATATTATTTTTTAATTAATGTATTAAAGTGTCTCGGAATACATAACGATAATGTAGAGGGCAACTTCACTGAAAGAGCATCTCGAATTTCTGAGAATAACGTAAATATTGCCTGTTTCACCTCATTTGTATCACATAATGTTTCGTTTTCGTATTTTATTATTGAGTTCAGTGAAATGGACCAATCGTCACACGGCGAGTACAGTTGAGGATTCAGAGACAGACGAGCGAACGAACATTTCGAGTGGAAGTCGAATGTGTTTGTTGGCTTGTATATGCGCTATACGGTAATATATTATAGAAAATCTGAACACATGAACACTCTCAAGACTAGTTCACTAACAAATACAGGGATGTAAAATCACATCATAACAAACAAATTGAGAAGGAAAGAAAAAACACACGAATGTACTGGAAAGAAAATCGAATATAAATGAAGTACGACGTGTGTGTGTGCAGATATTGATATGTATCGATATACACAGAGAATCCTCCCAACTGTAAATACGTTTGAAGCCGGAGAGAAGGAAAAACGATATTACAAACAACTGTCCGTCCATATTCTTAACTGCTGTAAGGAATGGCACAGTATTTAGTGACAGAATGGAAAGCGAAATGATAACTGTGAATCAATACAGGATACGGGACAAATCGATATTGGAACAATGGCAAAATTTACTGTAGCAGTATATGCCACACCATATAACAAGTTTCACAACAGTAATACGTTGTAGTATGTGCTTATGAGATACTGCGAACATGAAGAAAGAAAGGAACCGTCCGTTGTAGTGTTTTACAATAATTATGCACAAAGAAACCATGATACGGACGGTTGGAGATTCCTGTTGGCGTTATAGTGAAAAAAAGTTAAGAAGAAAAAAGAAAGGAAGAAATATAACAACTGAAAATCGATCATTGAAGGTGAGTCAGGATGCTGATGCAGTAACACTATGGATTATGGATATCTACTCAGCAGTCTGTAACATGTGTGATTGGTGGTGATGAGTGAAATCCGCTAACAGAGCAGCACCTGTCAGACCCGAAAAATCCACCTGAAAGAAAAGTGCATAATTTTAAATTGCTTTCGAATAAATCAATAAATGGGTAACCGACTTGTGATGATGGAGATATTGACTGATCTTCTGACCAGCTTGACTCTTTCTTCTTCATCATTGTCTTATACTCATTGATACGAACCTTCTTTCCATCAACCAAACATGTTCTTTTTGGTCGTGGTCTGGAAACGCCTCTTTGAATAATGAGCTTACTGAATTCACAGAACGGACTTCAGATAATATCGTTTCCTGTATACCTGTAGCGATAATCAGGATGTTGCTCCATGTGTAGTTTGCTGAGACGCGATTGCTCTTCATAATATGGCTGCTTCTCTGAGTTACTCATCGACTTCCATCGGTTTCCTAAGCAGTAGATAATCGTATTTTATCCTTTTAAATTTTATAAGGGACCTTTTACAGCTTCGCCATTGACACTTCTTAAACCCACCAAGAATTTTACTAATATTGCTATTGTGCATATCTGGATGCGCCTTAAGAATCTTTCTCCTTTCGTCGCGAGCCCAAACCTGAAAAATGACTTGTAGTTGCTAGTACTGCCACGATGAAATTTTCGAAGAAAAGCTACCATGAATGCATTCATAGGTCTCTTGATGTGATTTGGCGACTTTGCATGAGTTCGAACAGCAGAGGGAGGTTCCAGAGATGAAAGGAGTGAACCGATTCCAGGCGTGCTTTTCCCGGAGGAGGCAGGAGAGTGGTTCGTGAAAGCGGAAGCTAAACCTTGTCACTTTAAAAACAATTAGTGAATTTAAAGTTCCTTTTGGGCACATCTATAGATCGAAACGAGCGAGCGAACCTTTCGAAATTTGCAAAAAATTTAATCATTGATGAGAATGTTAAGTGACAGCCAAAAGTTTCGATAATGCAAATGTTGGACGACTCCAATGATTTCATATTTGGTTAATGGACCTATGTAGCCGTACGGAAATGATATGTAAGACATTAAAACAGAGCCGAACAAACAGAGGTTATATTTGCATTTTAAGAAGCGGAATTGCTTTTTGATTCACCGTGACCCGTAAACAACAATTAGGTTTTCTAAAAAGACGATTCACACAATGACAGAATGACAAAGTTTCTCACCGTCGGAAGCAAAATTATGTGTCATTCCGAACGAAATTCTACCTAGCATATTTGACGTAGTCAACGGCGATGTGGGCAGGGCTGGGATCACTGGGCTGTGCTTATTAATCTCTTCAGTTTTCACCTAAATTATAAAATAAATAACATGAGAGGAGCAATCCATTCATGGTTAGAGATTCACCATTGTCTTAGATCTGTGTGAATGTCAAAACGATAAAATTTGAGCGTTCCGATTGAATATAGCCGCAAAAGGAGTCTCGTAAAAGACATCTTAAAACTTTCAACTCATTTCACTTGTGGTTTTTTTTGTGTAAATTATTGCACCTTTTCACCTTTGTGAGATTAAGTGGACAGTCGGCGGCTTTTTCCGATTTAGGTTTCGGTGCTGCTGCAGCTAGCGAAGCGGCTAGATTTTGTTGGAGAAGTGTTGGCATTCCACCGCCAATAATTCCGTTCCCTAGCAGATGTTCATACTGTGCACCTTAAAAATCATGTACTCAATTCAAATTGTCAGATATCTTTTCTCTCGTACGATACACTGACAGGCTGATTCTGATACGAAACTTCTTCTACTTGTTTCATGAGCGATGGAAAACTACGAAGACACGGTTCTATCACGTAACGCCATATCATGCATTGTCCGCATACTCTTTGCTGACAAATGTTCGTGCCAGGGCTGATAAAAAACTATTAATTCCGAAAATCGTGCTATGAATTGGAATGTGGTGATCTGCTAATAGTATGTGGAATTGCAGAGTCTCTCTTTAGAAAACAAAAATGATGTGTTTAGAAGGCAATTGACAGTGAATGAAATGTTTATCTATGAATAAAGGAAAAGCATTAACTCTGCAACCTTTTAGCTCAGATTCAACGAAAAGACTGTAGAAACTAAGTACACTATAGATTAAGGTGTTCAACTAGGAAAAAGAAAAAGTGCATGCCGTACCGGGAAACAGCAATGAAAGATTCGGCTGAGCCATCATCGCTAGAATTCGTTGCTGATTGTGTTGATGAATGATCATCTGCTGTCGTAGAAGCATATCATTAAGCGTATCCGACGATTGCATCTTCTAGAAGAAGAAAAATTCGTTCGGTGACCGTTGTAAGCCGACACAGTAGTGTTTGAGAAGAAAGCATGCGCTTTCCGTTCGCTCCAGCCGTAACAATGCCCGCTGACGGCTGAGCGCGGCACCGGCCCGCGGCGGCACATCGCACCTACTATGACCCGAGATATGGTCGAAAAGAAACACATCGCATTACGGTAGCGATTTGCAATTCTGGCAGTACGTATAACACTACATCGTTACTGGCTTTTCTCTTCAAGTAGTCGCCGGTCATAATGAAAAGCTAGAGAAGGTGAAGCTGTGGTAATAGTGGTGGCGGTGATGGTGATGGTGGTGGTGTTGGTGGCGGTGGTGGTGGTGGTAAGCTCGAAGTTCTCTATGTTCATATTCAATTTCCTTTCGTTGTACTGTATGAAAAAGGCTATAAACGTATAAGCTCAAGCCGTTTTCACTAACAATTCTTCTGTAGATAAATATACATATGTATATATGGTCAATCTGTCTTGCCTTTTTTGTATTCTGACCTTTGTAAAAATAAAAAATTACCGTTTTTATTTGCTTCTCTCATTTTAAAAGAGCGGAATTTTTACTGTGATGTTTCTCAATATTCAAGAGATCTCTAATTTATGTTTAAGCTCTCTTTAGTTGTTTCAGGACGATCAACGAAGAAAATTAAGCATATATTTTTAACAATGCCACTGGCTATCTGTCGATGAAAAAAAACAGTCTTCACACCTGTTGCTGGGATTCTTCCTTTATGAATGCCTCTGATTGCTCCTCTTTATCTTCCTTTGCGAGCTCCTCGCTCGTCAAGCGTTCTTTTAAAGTTGTTAACTGTAAAGTGGTTATAGACAACTTAAAAACTCAATCATCAATTTCCAAAAGTATCTATTTTCGCAAAAAAAGAAGTGATTCGTTCTAGTCATACTTGTCTAATAACGTTTTGAATGAGATCAAGTTTTCCGTCGTACGATTCGAAGGAGTTCAATAGTTCCCTGAGAGTATTCCCGTCTATGAGAACTGTACAGCCTTGTTCTGTTTGAGCAAGAATATCCGGAAAGTCAGTAACACCGGTCGTTGCAGAAGTGCTGAAATTACTCACTCTGCAATAAAAAAAAATCCACATTCAACTCCAGAAATTATGAAACGTTAATCTCCGGTAGATGCAAAACCAAATACTCGAAAAGAGGCATACTTATGTGTTTTTTTATAGTTAGAGAATGCTATGCTTAGGCAAATATAATGAAGCAATCGATAACAATTTTAAAATTGCCAGTAGTTCAGTTTAAAAGAGGTACAATAGAAAAGCAGAGCAATGAAGCTCGTCATCGAAATTTGTTCGATAGAAAAACGAATGCCGTCGAAAAAGACGCGTTGGACAGTAGGTGAGATGTTGCACAGAGATGTTGTCAATGCATGAAGAGCAATAATTAACGACGATGCCGTCGATAACGATAATGATGGGAGGAGGATGATTTTCTGACTTTCAACTACAATTCAGCGTCTGATGAATAGACTTATGTCGAACGGACGAATGGAGGAATGATAGGGCGGTATTGCGATAGAGAGAAGAATGGAATTTTCTATTGCGGTCATTAGCTTAGTTACCAATGCTGGCAATGTTCGCTCTGCGCTACTAAACCTGCATATTTAACTATTCCTAATAGCGCGTATACATTGCACAATCCCAGTACAACGTTCGTTTTAAAGTAGAGATGTTTAGGTGAAATTCTTTTTCACATAACCTTACGGAATCCTAGAAATGACTCATCATCAAAATCATTCATAGGGTTAAAAAAGACGAAGAGAGATGAGGAGCAATTTTTGGAAGCACTGTCAACAAACTGAACGGAAACAAGGGATAAATAAGCCCGCGAATAGAAAAGAAACACAAAAAGTGTACAACAGCTGCAAACTAATGCTACTAAAAAAGTTAGAGAGCTGTTACTTGACGTATGAGAAAGCGCAACATTTGTAATTGTTTTATGAGCGACTGTAGAAGAACTAAACTTTTCAAGGTCAAGTCATATGAGTATAATGCGTGGACAACGACACGCAGTCATACCGATTACGTGTGGTCGTTGAGTCAGTTGGTGTTGTCGACTAAACACATTGTTCAGCAATGGTTTTTTTTTCTTTCAAACATTTCAGAACGGATTGGCACGTGAGAACAGCAACTGCTTGTGATGACCATTGCAAATGGACAACGCTTATCAGACCTCGACAGTTTGGCTTGTCTCTTGTCTTACGATTTGATCCCTCACCGATAACAGAGGTCAGTCGTTCGGTCAGCCCCCGACGGCTGACATTCGGAACGGCGATGGACAAAAACCACAACATTACTTCCGGTAAATCAAACGGTGAGGCAATATTGCAGATCATCTAGTTATTTGCTGGAAATCATTACGTTTAGATTGGAAAATTATGCAGAGCACTTTATTTCACTACTTGACTGACGACACTTGGGACTGCTAAATGTGTGACGCCTTTTAGAGGTTCTTCAAAATGCAACAGCTTTGGACAATGTTGATTTGCTTAAAATGTTAAAGCGATTTTCGTTTTAATCGTGAATCGTAACTCAAGCCATGAAGCGTTTCATTATCAAACCGGCCCAGCGATACCCACGAACGGCGAGGATATGAAGGTATCGACGGTGGCTGAGGGGTCAGCAACGCTGATCGAGTATTCGTGGTGTGGTCGTTAGTAGTATAGACGACATCAGATGACGTGAATTCCTATTTTGCCGTTGTCGTTGTCGTCGTTGTCGACTCTTGCCAATGGCTGGCTTACTGGCTGTCACTCAACTTTTCTATTGCCATTTTGTGTCAAACACGTCCCGCTAGCGAGTATCCAGTGAAGCGGCTCACTCATTTCCCCTCAAATACAATTGGATATACGGTAATGTTAATTGTCCCTTTTTTGTTGAATGCCATCGTGAGCATTTCAAATCAAACAGTCGAAACATCAAGGCTTAAGATTTATTTAAGAGAAATTTTTAAATTGTAATCGCCATCATTTTTGGATGAGCACTCAAAAAGTGTCTCGTTGAAAACTCAGAAAGCACTATTTGTTCAGTAGCTAGGCTTTAAGTCACCCAGCTGAATATAGTCCTAAACCACGAAATGATGAAGTTCGGTTGAACCAGTTAACATGGTTTCATAGTCACTACAGCCTTTTCCTTTAGCGGGCTCTAACTCCATTCATTCAGTGATCGTCATCATTGTCGCGAAGTGCACATATATGTTTCACAAAAGAAAGCAATTTATTAGGTTCAGTATGGCATAGTGCAAGAGTCGGCTCGGTGAAACAAAGGCGTCTGGACAATGGCATTACTGTAGCGCGCCAAATATCCAATAAATTGTCCAGCCAACCACTTCGATGAGAACAAAATCGCAAACGATTGGCGATTTGCCGCGACTGCAACGTCTTTGGCGGTATTTCTCAACTGGAAGCTTTGTGGACTATCAGCCTTTTGAGAACAGCGTATAAATGGACAACAGTGAAGCGGATAAACTTGACGAACTATTACTACCATTACGACTAATAACTGATGGCGAAGAAAACGAGTGGTGGACACTTGTTGTTATTGATGCTGCTGTATCATAAGATCGGAATAACAATTGTCAATAGCCAACAAATAGATCTTCAAATGATCTGACATGCACTGTTGAAAAACCGTGATGGAAAATTAATGAAAAACACTATAGCATTCACGATGCCCTTGTTATCGAAGCTGCTGACTATGCTTCAAACATTTACCGCCAATGTCTTCCTTGTACATTCAAGCTTCCTTCATCAAACCAACACAAGCGTCAATAGACAACACGAAATCGGCTTTACTTCAACTCTAACAATAAACGGGCATCAATTTGAAGAAATAGCGCCAAAAAACGAAGCAGTGTGTTCTAAAGAACAAAGAAAAGTCGCGGAGATGACTTTCAAGTGAACATCAAGCTGAGAAACGCATTCAAATTGCTAACGGTAGATAAAAATAAATAACCATCTCCAAGAAAACAATATATGTTCATCAGAATAATTTCAAAAGTGAAAACGAAAAATAACTGTGTAAGCAAGCTAACCTTGTATTTTCCGAAACGCTGCTAGCATTACTCTTGATTGAGGTGCCTGGAGGAGTCGCCACAGAATTCGGTGGACTATCCATACCCTTAAGTAAATCGCAAATAATGCTTGTAAACGGGGCTTTGCTAAAGGTCTAGTTAACCGAAATACTAACCAAACGCTTTAGCCTACAAAAGACTGAAGTGAATTAACTAGGTTTAAATTTGTGCTATTCACTTTATGAGAAACTATAACGACAATACGATGAGAGATACAGTTTATTAATATGTGTTTAAAGATCATCAAAAAAAAGGTTAACTTTTTTTCGTGTCGTCGGATCATAGAATGATTGCAATGACTAAAATAGGGCAGAGCATGAACTGGGTTCGGGAGCAAAAGGACAATGTAGTTGAGAAAGGCTGAGAAGGCCTGCCTCACAGACTCCTCCCATCCTATGTGTGTGTGAGTGTGTGTGTGTGTTGCTGCGGACCTCTCTTCCCTGTGCCTTTGTAAAAGACAAGGAAATTGGATACCAATCAGGCATAGCTCATACGTCTGTACAATGTTTCTATACTAATTATACACTATTAAAGTTATTCCTAATTTAAAGAGCATGCTGTGATAAAAAAGGAAACGGGAGCAAATCGGGCATAAGAGTGGATTCGCGTCCACAGTAGCTCACCTATAAGGTACTTTAGATGGAAGTAATGAGGAAAACTATGTACTGTAAGAGTGGCTAGAAACATTTGCTGCAATATCATTTGACAAGTAAGACCACATAAATTGAATGCGGAAATAGGTAGGTGATAAAATGCTCTCCACTTCAATAGTAAATCTGCACACGGGCCGCAAACTGATTAATTACAAACACGATTCGTTGTCTAGAAGTCAAGAAGCACATAGAGTTTCGTTCAGAACGAAAACGAATATTCTACAAGACTTTTTTTTATCCCAAGGATTCTTCTATAGAACATAAATGGCCGCATTAATTTCAATACGTGAACCATACGAAACATAAAACTTGCAACTGAGGGGTGCCTTTTGTTAAAGAGTGCACCAGACTGATACAATACACAAACGCTCAACAAATGATTATTGAACAAATTAATAACTAAATCACTTTTTTTAGGCGCCATTTTTCTATTTCTTCACTTCCATTTTTTCCACCGTATTAAAAAATATCTTTTCGTAATGCTTAAAAATTTTCTTCAGTGGATTTCATTTGGGTTTAGGGACCTGTGATTTCTCATTCATTCATTCATTCACTTGTTCTTTGTCATTTCTTTGCAACAAATCACTGACCTCATAAGTGATTAAAATCTGACTCGTTTTTGAATGTTCCATGAGGTGATTGTCGCTCATCATAGTAGTATTATGCAGTGATGTGGACGATTTATACTTTACTGTATCACCTAGTTTTGTTTCAGTTAGTCGTGTTGGATTGGCCTTTCGGCGGCTGCTCATACTGAAATATTAGAATTTGTGAAGATATTCTAACCTAGTAATATGCGTCATTCATTTCAGTATTGGCCTTGATCACCATGAAATTCCTACGAATACAAGAAATTTTTCTGATGTTAAAGAAATTTTAAAGCCAAATTATGAAGTAACACAGGCGACGCAAAAGACGATTCAAGTCTCATCACAGCTGAGAAAAATCCGAGAGGTCCTCCTTAAAAAAAACAACTTTGGCTAAAATAACGAAGAGTGAAAACCGTTTGAATGAAAAATGAATAAACAATTTAAGCTGGAAATAAAGGAAAATATTTTTTATTTAACCTAAGAAGTGAAGTCTTGTTTTAAGATATGCATAGAACGGATGGATGAGAATCGCAGCGGTAAGTTATCTTGTTGATAAATACCTCGTTCCATAGTATACTACAACATATTTGAAAGTTCACGGCTACGATTAACAATGAAATGTCCTCAGCGTGTTAATGTAACATGTCGCTAAGCAAGCATTCATTGTGCTCGATTCGTGAAAAGCAACGAGGATATGCGAAATTATTAGATCGTGCTCGCACTTCAACTAGTGGAAGTGAGTGATCAAAAGAAACAAAATCCATGATAATGAAGGTGAACCGGATTAGAATGTTATCCTTGTAGCAGGTGAGTGAAGTTCTCTGATGATATACAATGTGACCCGCCCCCCCCCCCAATAAATACCGTAGACCGTGTATCCCATAACTAAGCATATAAATTCCGTCCTTGTTCCTTTCATTCATTTCTGGCAATATTGAAAGTTTCAATATTAACTCGTCAAGCGGAAGAGCTAGGTACAGTTAAAATAGTCTAGAGCAATGAAACGAGATGCAAAGAACGATCCACGATAAAATATTATTATTACTCATGCAACGTTGTTCATTCTACACTACCATTATGCAAAGTCGTAATAAAGCAGCAACGCGAAAGTGCTATTGATATCTAAGTGAAGTCGCTCTGTTGAAAGATAAAAACTACTGACAATGGAGAGTTCCACAGCGCATCTGCACTTGTACCCGAAGTCATCACTTCGTCCAGTCTCTTTAATTTTACCGTTTTCGAAAAAAACACATCACCCAGATGTTGTTTTAGACATCATGCGTCAACAAACAAAGAAGTCCAACAGCAATGTCTGGAGAAAACTGACAACACCTAAAACGTGATTTTAGACTGCTTCTTTCCATTCGCGGTGTGTGCGATTCGTTGTTCGTTGGTATGTAAATGACCTAATAGGTTCACTGAGATAAAGAATCATGGTAAAGCGGTGTGTTTTCGAGAGTTTATTTTGTTCTGCTTTATCAAAGAAAAGAAATCCGCTTCACTATTTCTCAAGACCCTTATTGCATCTGTTACAGTAGTGCTTCTCAGCAATAACTCATCATAAATGCTGACATGACGAAATACGCACACGCGATCTCCATATGCTGCTACCTGCATGGTCTTCGGATATCATCCCGAGTAGAAATTGATCGTGCAAAACGGCTTTCGCATGGATTTATATCCACTTTAGAATAATTGTTGTTGATTGTATAACAAAGATTAAGTTTCGTAACTAAAGCACAATCGATGATGCACTAGAAAAGTTACAAGTTCCTTCGTTTATGAATGTGAATGAAAAATTGGGCACTGGAAGAGTTTAATGACGAGGATTTCGTGGAATAGAACAGTGTTTCAGTTGATGTGGTTCCGTTTTATTGAGAAACGATTACAGGAACAAAACATGCCAGTTACTAGGGACGGTACAATCACTGCTGATGATTTTGACAAGGAATTGGTCGCAATGGCTTGTTTCTAGCTATAAAAAATTCTCTGGCACCGCACATTTCCGAATAGCCAACGAAGATGTTGTAATGATGATCAGCTATGTTGTAAGAGTCAACAACATGCTTTTGTCTACCTTAGTAGGCATTGGCAACGGCTTCGCAAACAACGATATACTTGTCTGTGTTTATTGTTCAGAGGTTGGAACCCATAAATATAGCTTATTGGCGAAAACTCGAATTATAACTAAGTTTGACTAACAACCATGCAAAGTCATTAAAGTACTTCAAATGTTAAAACGGCTGTCAGAGAAACAGAAGACTTTGAGTGAGGGATTGTTCAAGTATTTTCCAATAATTATAGAACATCTTGAACATACTGCTGCAGTTATCGCTCTCCACTTACAAATCTATGCATTCACAAGACTGTGACAATGGTTCTATGTGTGGTTCATTTACTATCAATTGTTCAACAGACGTCTCCTCAGAATTCCAGCGCTCATGCCCTATATGGGCAACAATTCACAATACGGTAATGCAATACTAGCGCTACTAATTACACTGAATAGCTCGGATATCAGACCCGAAGATCCTCGTCAATGTGCCATAACGCCGATGTAATTTCTGCGATTTGATATTAAGCAACAGAACACGACATAACTTCATCACAACAGCAGTAGCAGTAACATAAGTGGTGGTTCGAAAAAGAAACAAACAATTAGTTAACGGTTTAGCAAGAATGTAAAACTTGAGAACACTTCCCATAAAGAACGAATAAGTGAGCGTTTTATAGATCGACACAGCGACAATGCCCCAGCGGATTAAGCACTGTAGGGTTTCCTCGGGCATAGAATTACTGAATCGTAGGCAGTTGTTGATCTCTATAGGTTCTGATTTATAATTCAGGACCGAAGAACGCTTCGAAAAGCAAAACGGTTACAATAAAATAAAATGTTTAAGCACAAGCAGACCTACGCTAAGTGAACGAGTTTTTCTACTATATCAAAACCAAGATGTGGGGCTGGGAGGAGTTAGCGTTTGGGGACGCATCTCGAAAGTTATACTGATGCTGGATAAAACTCGTAGACTATACTGAGTTAGCTTGCAATTGTTAGTTTATACAAAATAACAAACGTATAAAAAACTGATGGTGACGTTTAATGAAGCGATTTTAAGTAGGAAGAACGGAATTGCCTCTTTGGCCAAAGGAATGGCCGATGAAAGCAAATGTTTTGATGTGAGTTGTGTAAAAAGTGATTGCTAGTTCATTGCTCTAAGAATAATGCTGTCACTCTTCATCCGAGCACATTTTTTCGATTTTGGAACGAAACAATTTATTGAATGATTGCTGTGGAAAATTTTCTAAACATCTTTGGATAAAGGGAAGCCGAAGAAAACTGGAAAGTCAAATCCCTAACAGAGCGGTTCTGTTGGTAAATGGGTATAGTAGTATGGATTTCTGCTTGATCAATCACATATTTCTATAGTAGATTGATTAATTGACAGTTGTTCGGATATGGCGGATATCTGTGGAACATTTGTGTTGCTGGAAAGTATGCATTGAGTTCGACCGACGAGTTCATAGAAAATAATTATTGCAGATAGACAATCAGTAATTTGAAGTGATGCAGCTGATGGCTGACGATATGGAGTGGTGCTCTTCTGAAGTCTTCATTGTTCAGTTGATGGATTGCTGTACGTCGTCGGCATCAATACATGATCATTCAGGATACATCGAAAACAAAGACACCGGCCAACAACGTCAATTATAAAAACAACAATGAAAGCAGGAATATAGAGAAACAGCAAAAATATTCCGGATGAGATCACGTGATCTCTTGTAGATTACCTAAATGTCGCA